CCGAGGCTGGGGGCCACTCAGCAGAAGCAGGGGTACATGCCCACCTCCACTGACTCCATTTCCGGCACCCTTCAGCAATAACAGCCCCATGGAACACCTTTCAGGCAAGTTATCCTCACTTCATTCAAAGCAGGGAGTGCAGGGCTGGGTAGCTCAGTGGTGGAGAGCTCACTTCTCCCTGAGGAACAATAGGGAGTCGGCGGTAGCTGTGGGAGGAAGTAGCACTCTCTTTAGTGGGGTAGTCACTAGTAAGGTGCCCATGCTCCTATGAACAACCCTTCCTGTGCTACTGTAAGCAACCCTAATATAGATGCATTCTCTCTCTCTCTCACACACACATATCCATATGCTCACACTCACAGTGACACACACACACACACACACACACACACACACACACACACACACACACTTATGATAAAATTTAAAGCAGCAGAGTAAGGAAACCTGATTAACTTACTTAAACTAAGTGGACGCCACCACCAGAAACACAGAATTCTAAAAGCAGCCCTGATGGACACTCCCAAGAAATAACAGGCTAGAGCTGTGCAAGAGATGGGTAGTAATTAAAGGAGATGCCAACTGGTCCCCTTCCATGCGACACAGGCACAACCCTCAAGGCCCCATTGTTCCTTTTTCATAGTCTCTCTCTTATCAACCTTCAGTTTTCTAACTGACAGTACTCTCCTTTGTAAGAGGGGCATCATACGGAATCATGGATAATCATCACTGTCACAGGCAGTGACGAGCCCTACAGTACAGATGAAAAAACTGAGTTTCACAAAAGAAACCATCACCTCCCACAGGCCACAGCTACCCAGCAGCAGGGGAAGAATGCAAATGCTGAAGTCCTGTAGGGAGAATTCTGGAATTTCGGTTTCTTTAAGGACACAGAAATATATGTTTTCATTTTAATCCCAGGTGTAGGGACATGGGGCTATTTCGAAGCAGCTGATTATGACTTGCCTCATGCTCTGGTTGAGGGCGTGATTTTGGCAGTTGCAGATAGTTTCTGAGCTTGTGTGACAATTGGAATTCTGGGGACTTTTCAGAGGGTATATAAATGCTAGAGCCCTGATAGATGGGTTGTTGGTTGGTTGCTGTTGGTCGTTTGTTAAGTCGTCCTTCGTGAAGAAGAGGAAGAAGAAATCAGATATCTTGACATCGTAAATAAAATTTGCCCTAGGGAGCTCGATATCCCTCATCAGCAGGCAATAATCTTAACATTCATGTCACACACACCCCCTTACAAACCCTGACTTTATTCGGAGATCTCTTTCCCTTCCTCTCTATCCTTTTTTCTCTCTTATCTAGTTTTAGGGGGTTGAAAGGAAAGAAGAAAAGGGGTGGAAGAAAGATGAAGAAGGGTGGAAGAAAGAAGAACACACAGGTAGCCAACGCTGGCTACAAAGTCTGGAACACGGCTGTCTGCAGGTGGAAGCTCAGTCCATAAGACCAATCAACATTGGGTGCAGTTGCACACCTCTATAATCCCAGCACCAGGGAGGATGAAGCTGGACCTGAGAGGCCAGCCTGGGCTATAGTGGGATTCTTCCTTAAAAGGCAAACAACTGGGGCTGGAGAGACAGTTCCTCAGATAGGAGTGCTTGCTGTTGGGATCCCAGCACCCGCATAGGAAGCGAGGTGTGGTTCCCTAGTAAGGGGAACAGGGACTGTCTCTGGCATGGACTCAGTGGCTGGCTGTTTGATCACCTCCCCCTGAGGGCGAGCAGCCTTGCCAGGCCACAGAGGAAGACAATGCAGCCAGTCCTGATCGGCTAGGGTCAGAGGGAAGGGGAGGAGGACCTCCCCTATCAGTGGACTTGGAGAGGGGAATGGGAGGAGATGAGGGACAGAGGGCGGGATTGGGAAGGAATGAGGGAGGGGGCTATAGCTGGGATACAAAGTAAATCAACTAATATAAAAAGTTAAAAAAAAGTGAGGTGTGACGGCATGTGTCTGTAATCTTAGTGCTATGGGAGGTACAGACAGGGTGGTGCAGGCTTGCCGGCTGTGGCCTGGGCCTAGAGTCAGTGAGAGACTGTCTTAAGGGAATGAAGCGTAGAGCAGTACAGCATGACACCTGCCATCCTCCTCTGGCCTCCTCATGGGCACTCATGGGCATGAAGAGCTGCACATACAAGCAACATGCATGCACACAACTGGGGCTTGGGGAGCAGTTCCATGATAGAGTGCTCGTCTAGGACCCTGGTTTGGTGGTTAGATCAACACCACAAACAAGTCAAGATGCTCTGACTTGCATGTTTTGGGTGCATCAGATTGGAAGGGTCTGTTCTTCATGGGTCTCCCTATGCCCTTGGGGAAACTTTGCAGAAACCTTGAGCAGTTTGAAAATCTGGAAACTGGGCTGGGTTAGGTTGGCATGCACAAAGTTTTAGATTTTCTCCCCAACATTGCATAAACCAGGCAAGGTGGTACGTGCTTGCAATACTAGCATTTAGGAGGTAGAGGCAGGAGGTCCAGAAATTCAAGGCCACATCCTTGACTACTCAGTGCGCTCCTTGACCATGTCTCAAAAACAAAAGTGGTTACGGGATCATATTGCTTTAAAGGACTTGAGTTCAATTCCCAGCACCCACATCAGGTGGCTCACAACTACCTCTAACTCCAGCTCCAGGGGATCCAATGCCTCTAGCTTCCAGGGCAACCTGTACTCATGGCACACCTCCATAGACAGACAGATAGACAGGGAGACAGACAGACAGATACACACACACACACTTAAATCTTTTTGTTTGTTTGTTTGTTTTGGTTTTTGTTTTTTTCAGTTTCTCTGTGTAGCCCTGGCTGTCATGAAACTTGCTCTGTAGATCAGGTTGGTCTCGAACGCAGAGATCCACCTGCTTCTGCCTCCCAAGTGCTGGGATTTAAAATGTTAGCCACCTTTACCCATATATAAAATAAATCTTAAATAACAGCAACTGAGGATGTTTGAGACCATCTGCATAGCAATACCCAAACAAAACAAAACAAACAAATTAACAAAACAAAACAAAACCAAAATCAACCAAAACCCAAGCCAAATCAAAGACTTGGGCTGGGGTTGAGGGTGGGCCTCACTGAAGATCACAGCATAGACACTGTAGCTGGAGTTGCCAGCTGTAGGGTCAGTGAGAGACCCTGTCTCAAATGAGGATGAGGACTGAGAAAGACACCAGACATTAAGCTGGGGTATGGCTTCCATTTTGAGGTGAACCAGTCCAGGCTACCTATTCCGCTGGAAATAACCAGGGTTGAGTGCCTTTAGGACTGGGGGCTCCCTAGAGGGGTCCTTGCTTCTGCTCTAGCTGGGATCAGTGCCTTCAGCTGAGGCCCTTTCAGGCCTTTAAAGCACACTGCCATCTAGTGGTAAAAATAAAAACCTACCCACCAGGAGGCCTGGGAAGAAGCCTGGTGCCCCTAAGGGACCACAAAGGCAGAATTGGCCCTACACTTGGTTAGTAGGCAGTTGACTAAGAGATCTTATGCAGCTCAAGCTAGCCTCAAACTGTCTATGCAGCTGAGGCTGGCCTTGGGCTCCAATTCTCCTGCCTTCACTGTGAAAGGATGTCTCAGTGCTGGCTACCAGGCTCCCTGGAGTGAAGAAACTGACCATCCAGATGAGCAAACTTCCCCTAGGAGAGATGAACTGACTGGTGCATCTCATAACTGCCTGTAATTCCAGCTCCAAGAGACCTAATGCCCTCTTCGGGTCTCCTCAGGTACTCGCACACACGGCACACACTCTCAGATAGACCTACACACTCATAAATGGGTGCCTCTTAAGGCTAGGCCCGGAGGCACAGGCTACCAATGCGCACGGGAGGCAGAGGCAGGCGGAGCTCTATGGGTTCTACAGGGCTGCCTTGTAGCCTCACAAAGACGAGCGACCCAACAAGCAAACTTTATAAGCCTGCCGATGCACGGCAGACAGCTGCACAAAACCACTTGGCTTTCTGGCTTGGGGAAATAGAATTCTGGTTTTCAGCGTATGTGGCAGAAAAACTCCACGTCTTTTGTGAGATGGTTCTGGCTTCCTCTTTCCCATTCCTGCACCCCAGCTTGGGTCATGAGGCGATATAACTCTGTCCAGATCACCAACTTTCTCCATGATCTGGTCCAGAGGGTTTGAAATCTGAAATCTGTTCAAGAGCATCTCAGACACCAAGTGTGTCCTATACAGTCTTGGGGTCCATCTGGTTCTCAGCTTGGCAGCAATGCAACACTTTTTAAAGCTGCACAGACGTGAGCCAGGCAGTGGAGATGCACACTTTAATCCCAGCTCTCAGGAGGCAGAGGCAGGTGGAGCTCTGTGTTCAAGGCCAGCCTGGTCTACAAAGTGCATCCAGGACAGCCAAGGCTACACAGAGAAACCCTGTCTGGAAACAAACAAACAAAACGGAAAAAAAGCTACGCAAACTGAAAACACTGCCTTGCTTCGCCAAGCAGCTCTGTAAAGGCAGTGCTGCTCTTTGAAGGGAACGACTTGCCTTTCCTCCTTCAGTGACCTGTGAAATATGTAAAAGTTAGTGAGTAGTGGGCACTGGGTGATATCTGTATTCCAAATAGTTCACACTCATGGGCTCATTTCTGTCCCTACGAGCAGTCATTTGCTGAACATGCTGCTGTCTCTCAGGCCTTAGACCCTGAGGTTAAGTAGACCAGCTGGAAGGTGCTGGCGCCCAAACCCTCCTGAAGCAGCCTGTCTTCACAGTGGCTTCCCGTCTTTCTAACGGCTTCCAAGTCTCGTCTCTTCAATTCAATTCAATATGGAGTCTACAGAGTGAGAAGAAGGAAGATCACTGATCTGGCCCAATGATTTCCATTTCAGAGAGAGGCCTGGAGAGGGCAGTGGGCTGCTCAAGACCACACAGCAGAGAATGGGCACGGTCGGGCACCTGACCTCGAGGGGGAGGCTCTAGCGGGAGTCATAGTAGTGACACAGGCAAGCACAGCAGCATCTTGTAGGTGAGCAAGCAGTACGAGAGCACAACAGACACTTCTTCAACAAATGCAGCTTGACTTTATTGCAGGGAGGCTGGCAGCGAGCAGGCAGGGAGGGCCTGTCTGGGCAGAAATTCCACGGCTGAGCTGGACATCGGGTGTTCCAGATCTGCCGGGAGACCAGATCAACAACCTAGGAGAGAGGGGAAAATAGGCAGATCAATGGCGCCACCTACTGTGGGTGGGCAGCATTGCAGCTCAGTCTCCTGCAGCCCACGGTGAAGGGAGTCTGCACAGGGGCTACAAAGTAACTCTGGCTCCTTCTACTCGGCGCTTACACATGTCTGACAACCCCAGAATAAAAGTCAGAGAACTGGGCTTGGCAGACTTTTGTAATACCAACACTGGAGGTAGAAGCGGGAGGATCAAGAGTTCAAGGCTATCCTGAGCCATATGAAATCTAAAAATACACATACATATTTTTATACGTATTGTGTGGAAGTGGTGGTACACCTTTAATCCCAGAACTCAGGAGGCAGAGGCAGGTGGATCTCTTTGATGCTGAGGCTACAACAAAGAAACCCTATCTCAAAAAAACAAAAACAACAAAACAAAATCAAACAATAACAAAACAGGCATGATGATAGTGACGCATGCCTGTACTTCTAGCCTGGGGAGGTGGAGATAGGATGATAAGAAATTCAAGGTCATTTTCATTAAATCTTAAGTTCAGGGCTAGCCTGGGCTACATGAAACACTCAAATGAACCAGCAAGCAAATAAACACACTGTATCATTCCCTTTGTTAGGAAGTATCCAGGCTAGCCCAGAGTGGCAGGAAACAGACTAGCATTGTCAGAGGAAATAGTGGGGGTGACTGGGCAACCATTGTTTGATGGACGTGAGATATTTTTCTCAGATAATGAAAATGTTCTCAAGCAGGTAACGGTGTGGATGTGCTTCACTACAAATGCACACAGTGCTTTGGACGACACCAATGAACACGGCTAACTACCAAACGTCATTTTCATCTTGATAAAAAAGCCACAGGAGTAAAGCTCAAAGTGTCACACTGCCCGCCATAGCAGGTTACAACAGAACTCAAAGGTTACAAAGGCCACTCACTCACCCTTCCTTCCAGTCCTTCTCCACAGAGATCATGCTTATCAAATGCAATCTTTTTATTTTTTTCTAAAGTTAAACAAAACTTTTTTATTTTTATTTTTTTGAGACAGAGTTTCTCTGTATATCCCTGGCTCTGTCCTAACTCACTCTATAAATCAGGTTGGCCTCAAACTCAGAGATCTGCCTGCTTCCGCCTCCTGAGTGCTGGGATTAAAGGTGTGTGCCACTGCCACCTGGCTGAATAAAACATCTTTATTAATATGGTGTGTGTGGAGGTCAGAGGACAAGTTTGTTCTCTCCTTTCACCTTTATGTGGGTTCTGGAGGTCAAACTCAGGTTGTCAGGCTGTCACACAGGTGCCTTTACCCACTAAGCCATCTTCCGGGCCCTCAAATAGGACTTTACTTGGGGAAGCTGGACACGGGGGCTCACAGGTATAATCACGGCAGAAGGATTGTTGCCAAGTCCAGAAGGCCTGGGCAACACAGTGAGGCCCTATTTAAAAAATGAGTTGTAAAAAAATAAAACAAGCCAAGAAAACTTTGACATGGCAGTCTAAAACACAACAGGGTTGTCTGGAAGAGATGGAGGCCAGTGACTCACCCCTCACCCAAGCTGTAAAACCCAGGGATGAGGGGCCATTCGGCGACTGGGAAAGGAAGGCAGGGTAGAGGGGTCTGCCCACCTCACAGATCAAATCTCAGGTATATAAAACATGTCCAAGGCACAGTCTGGAATGAGGGCAGGGCTGGAACCTGAACCCCAGACTCATTCCTGGCTCATTCCTGGCCATGGATCAAATCCAGAGCCAGAAGAGGGACGGGGAACAGTGACTTTTATCTGTTTATCTATCTATCTATCTATCTATCTATCTATCTATCTATCTATCTATCAAAATTTAGTGTGTGAGTGTGTGAATGAGTGTGTATGTGTGTACATGAGTGTGTATGAGTGAGTGTGTATGTGTGTGTGAGTGTGTGTTGAATGTGCATGTGTGGAGGAAGAAGACAACATGAGGGAATTCAGTTCTCTCCTTCCCCCACATGGGTCCTGGAGACGGAACTCAGGTTATCAGGCTCGGTAGCAGGCATATTTACCTGCTGAACCATCTTTTGTCCCTGTTATTTTTAAATTTGTTTTTTGTTTACACAGGGTCTTTTCTGTGTAACCCAGGTTAGCCTTGACTTCCTGCTCTTGATTTCCTGCATCAGCCTCCTTCGAACTCGCTCATCTTCGTTTTTTAATTTGCTGGGATGTCACCATATACACAGAACCCATGGCTTGGGTTCCAAATGGTCACACTGAGAAAAGAAGAGGCCCTACTCAAAGGGGTCCCTCCTACCCCAAGTCGATTACAGGCTGCCCTCTGCCAGGGGCTCTCACGGATCACCATTAGGGTCAGCGCTACCTACCACATCTTCCAAATGCCCATACAGGATGCCTGGCTCGTTCCCTCCTCAGCCCCATATTTGTGTGGAGTTCTGGCCAGGTCACCTGCCCTCACCAGGTCTCATTTTACTCAGCTCCACCGAGGACACAAACCATTATAAAACTGACCATCACAATTCATGGGTCAGATGGACTGCAGAGGAAATGAGACTGCTGGGCACAGTGGGAAGGGTTGCTGAGTGGACAAGTGAGGCCTGCCTTGCTTCCTGCGGGAAGGGCGCTGGCATGGGGTCACTTCCTGCCTCGCTGGGACCCAGGCAGTAGAAGACAGCTTAAATGTGTCATTGACGGCACCAGGCACTTGGCATCCGGTTCCAAGCGGAAGAAAAGGCAGGGTGAGCATGAACTCATGCCCAGGATGTGAGACCCAGAGCAGAGGCATCAACTCTGGAGGGATGGTCACTTCACCATTCCAGGAGGGTCAGACACTCTCAACTTAAATCCCACTGGCCACGTGAGTTGCCCTTCAACTGCCACGGGACCGTGGGAACATAACGCAGGAGTTCTGTCTGCTCACAGGAGCCCATCAAGACCCCTGAGCTCCTGGTTTGTACTGGACAATGCTGATGAGCTTGTGACCCTTCCAGAGGGGCCAGTGGGCTGAACACATCAGGGCCCCCTCCTACCTCACTCAAGAAGCCCAAGTTCAGGCTAAGCACCTCAAATCCAGGAACCCTAGGTGCAGTGTGCTCCAAAATGAGAACTTCCCAAGTACCAACTTGATGATGAAAAGGTTTGGTGTTTTCCTATTATGAACGCCCTCTGGGTGAATTTGGACAAAGATCCCAAACCCCAGACACACTGAAATCTGAACTGGTTCTGGGCCCAAGCCTTTCAGAGGAGGGACCTCCATCCCATGGGACCCCTGCAGAAGCAACAGGCTTGTGGGACAAAGGCTGAGGCCTCACCTACCTACTTCTTCAGTACATCTGGAGGGACTCCCGGGTCCCGGCTACTTGGGGCCAAGGTAGGAAACAGCTTTTCCTGTTTTGTTGAGGGTTGCCAGCAGGGTGTCTGTGCTGTGCTCAGACTCGATGCAGACCTTCTTGTTAGGCAAGTCAATGTTGAACTCCACTCCTACAGGAAGAAGGAAACTGGGATGTGGGGGGGGGGGGCAGGACCCTTCCACCCACTGGAACAAAGAAGTCATCCTCCTTAGCTATTCCTGTGACGCCAGGCCCCTGTCCTGGAGCCAGGGAGCAGCAACCTCTTTCTGTTTCAGGCACCGTGAGCATGGCAGGCTCTTCTCTGTGTGAAGGCAGTGTGAAGGATGGGGACTGAACCCAAGGCCTTGAGTCCTGGGAGAGCACTCCCCTACTAAGCTATTTCCTCAGCTCTTTCTCTGAGTTTCCTTCTCTTTTCTCTTTCCCCTCTTTCCTTCCCTCCTCACATCCAGCTCCTTTTCCCACAAATCCTGTCATCACTACTACCTCACTTTCCTTTGCCCAAGCTAAGCTTCCAATTTAGCAACACAGAGCTCTCCTCCTTCCTTGCCTTTCTTTATAATTTTGTTTAAAATGCTCTTTAAATTATGTATATGTTTGGTCTGTGTGGGGGTATGCTCTTTGAGTGGAGGTGCCCCTGAAGGCCAGAGGTCTGGAGGTGAGTGCTAGGTCCTCTGCAGAAGAAGTACACACCCTAGTGCTGCTCTGACTTGAGGTGCCAGGGTGGGTTGGTACCCCTAGGAAGCCTCCCCTTCTCTGAGAAGCAGAGGGATGGAGAGGGAGGGGACTGGGGAAGGGAATGAAGGTGGGATTGGCAGAAGAAGAAGGAGGGGCTGAGATTAGGCCATAAAGTGATTAAGTAAAAAAATAAATGGAAGAAAAAAAAGTAGTCTTAACCACTGAGCTGTGCACCACAAGCGCAAAGTACCCACGGAGGTCACAAGAGAGCCTCAGGTTCCCTGGAACTGGAGTTGCAAATGGTTGTGAACCCCCACATGGTGCTGAGAATTGAACCCAGATCCACTGCAAGAGCAACGAGTGCTCTTAACTATTTCTACAGCTCCTTCCTTTCAAATTTTTATTACATTTTAATGAGAACATGTGTGAGTCTGTGTTAGCAAGTGTGAGTGAGCAAGTGTGTAAAAAGAATCTGTATATGAGCATGGTATGTATGTGTGTGAGATGGTGAGTGAGTATAAGGGAGAGTATGTGTGAGTGCATGTGAGGAGAATGAGCATGTGTTGAGGGGGTGAGAGAATGTGTGTATGAAGGTCAGAGGATGACTTAGAGTCAGCTCTCTCCTTCTGTGTGGGTCTTGGGAATTGAACTCAAGCTTGACAGGAAGCATCCTTTCCCACTGGGTGCCTAGTGCCTGTGTGCGGCCCCAGCCCTCAATATGGTACTGGGCCTCACATGTGTATTCTATCACTGAAGCCCTGGGGCTCCAACCTTTCCATTCCAGTGTGTGTGTATGCTACTGGTACCCATGGCATCAAACATGACAAGCAAGCACTCTGTCACTGAGTTTCACCTCTTTTGTTTTGAGGCAGCCTCACTAAGTTACCCAGGGTAGCCTCGAACTCCTTCAACTCACTCTATAGTCCAGAGAGGCCTGAGCTTGTGATTCTCCTGTCTCAGCTTCCTGCTCAGTGTGATGACTGGCCTGGCTTTGTCCCTTGCTTTTCTCTTCTTTCTTTTTGACTTTCCTTTTCCTTTCCTCCTCCTCCACCTTTTTTGAGACAGGGTCTATCTTTGTAACCATGGCTGTCATGGAACTCCCTCTGTAGACCAGGCTGGCTGGTCTTGAATTCACAGAGGACCACTTGCCTCTACCTCTGGAATGCTGGGAGTAAAGGCATGCACCATCACCACCCAGCTGTCCCTTGCTTTCTGAGAGCTCTCCACTCTTCCCAGGGTGGTGTCCTGACATCTACTCACCAGGCCAGCCCAATACGTCACCCAAGCCTGTCTGGCCACACCTATATGGTGCTTTTACACCATGGATTGGAGTAGAAGTGTTCGGCAACAGCTTGGCACATGTGGAACACTAACAGCTATTGCCAAACCGCTCTCCTTGTCTAAGCCATACTCCTACCAAAAAAGAAAACCCACAATGCCCTCCTCTAAAATAGTGTGCCAGTGAAAAGGCCGGTCAGGACCATTACAGGCCTTGGCTCTCCCAGCTGTCATAAAGGGGCTGGGGTCAGCCCTTAGTCTGACTACCCAGGTCCTAAGCAACTCAAACTCTTCAACTGTCCTCAACAGGAGAGGCATAGGGAGCGCCTTAATTAAGGTTTCTATTGCTGTGGCCAAAAACTATGGCCAAAAACAACTTGGGGAGAAGAAGCTTTATTAAACTTCCACATCACAATCTATCATGAAGAGGAGGTCAGGGCTGGACCTCCCTGGAGGCAGGGACTGAAGCAGAGGCCATGAAAGAATGCTGCTTACTGGCTTGCTTTGCTCCTCATGGCTTACTCACTTCTTATAACACCCAGAACCACAAAAATAGGGATGGAACCACCCATTATGAGCTGGGCCCTCCCATAGCAATCATCAACCAAGAAAATCTACCATAGCTTAGCTCACAGGTCAGTCTGGTGGGGCATTTTCTCAGTTGAGGTTTCCTCTGTCAAAACGACTCTTGCTTGTGTCAAGCTGACATAAAACTAGCCAGCGCAGGGAGAAACTTATCAAAGGCAAAGGCCCTCAGGACTAGCATGGCTGTTTAGCACATGGCTGCAATCTCTGAATCTACATATAACAAAAAGTTACAGAAAGGTGTGAGGTACCAAATGGGTGCTGGGAATCGAACCCAGGGCCTTTAGAAATGCAGTCAGTGCTCCCAACCACTGAGCATCCTTCATTTTATTTCTGTCAGGCACATGCCGACAGGGACTGACATTCTCAGATCATATCTGGGGAGAAAAGCCACTGGCCTGTGGGAAGTCAGCAGCCAGGTTCTCTCCAGAGTCTCAGATTCTTGAAAACAGACCTCTCAGTGTAGCTGGGCATGGTGACTCATGCCTGTAGTCTCAGAACTCAGGCAACTGAGGCAGGGGGGGACTGTTCCAGGCCAGCCAGGGTATCATGGGAAACCCTATCTTTTAAAAAGTAAAATAAAATAAGATATTCCAGCTCACAGGGCTCAGAAGCAAGTCACTGACTCACGCTCACTGTGGGGTTTGGGCAAGGCACTTCCCTTCGGGCACTGGTGTCTTCAGTCCTGCTCTGCCTTGGAAAGTCCCACTCAGTGGATTGACAGTGTGTAGGCTGTTTCAGCACTCCCTGGTATTGTTACCCTAGGTTGTATTTATTTATAAATTGTAGAGACAAGGTAGCACTCTGTAGTCCAGGCTGGCCTCAAGTCCAGGGCAATGCCTTGTTTGTCTCAGCTTCCCAAGTCCTGGGATTACAGCTGTGAGCTGTTAAACCCAGCTTTGCTTTTATAAATGTATTTCATTTTATTTTATTGTAGTACTGCGGATTGGATCCAGAATGTCATATATGCTCTACTGCTGAGTGACACCCCAGCCTCTTTGGTTATTTTTATTTTGAGACAAGGTCTCCCTAAATTACCCAGGCTGGCCTTGGGCTTTTGATCCTCCTGGGCTTCTGGGTCTACAGGCATGCACCCCCGGGCTTGGCTGTTGTTACTCAGTATACTGTCACCCTGGAGATCACCAGTTTTACTGCCCAGCACAATCCATTGAACTCTAAACAGTTCCCACCTTCATAAAATGAAGGCAGTCTCTGGGCACTGGTCTGTATGCCAACAACTCAAGCAGAGGCTGGACGAAGGAGACCATGACCACCAGCCTGGGCTACACATGGAGGCCCTGCAGAAGGAGGTGGGGGAGAGGGAGGGAACAGGTGAAAGAATCAACAAAAGGGAGTTGTGTGTGGTGGCATGGTGGCACATGTTTGTAGTTCCAGCATTTGGAAGGCAGAGGCAGAAAGAGTACTGTATATTTAGAACCAGCCTAGTCTATGCGGTGCGTTCCAGGACAGTCAGGGCTACTTAGCAAGGCTCTGCCTCAAAAACAAGAATAAACTAAGGAAGAGGGAGGGGTGAGGGGGGTATAGTGAATGAAAGAAACCTGAGGTGGCCACAGTGACGTAAAAAGGCTTCTCCACATAAGCAAAGTGCATACAAGGGCCCCGCACACTTCATTTTCACTGTTAGTACCAGCTGAGCTGCAGCTGTGGCTGATCCTTCTTCTCGGCTTCATGCACCTGAACGTGTGTCTCCCATGTAGTTATCTCCCCATCCCACCTCCAACGGAGAGCCTCTCACCTCCCAGCTTGTTGAGGACTCGGGAGACCGCCTCAGCGCAGCCTTCACAGGTCATGTCCACGGAGAACTCGTGCTTCTGCAAGAAAGGAAGATTATGAGCCAGGCCCTGCCGAGACCCATACACTGTCCCAAGTCAACAGGGAGCAGATAGAGCAGGCACAGTCTCACTGGGAGCCTGTCTGTGCGCCCAGTCTAGTCAACAGGTAAGAGAGGGGATACAAGGCTTCTGTGTATCACAGGCAGGACCCACAGAGGCAATCTCCAGGATGACAAGGTCTCTTTGAGATGCTCTCTTCCAGTTCACCCTTGAGGTCTGCTTTGTGAGCTGTGGGCTCTGCCTCAGGACCAGGGAACTCAGCCACGGGTGGCCCCACTCCCAGCAGAGCTGATGTGGGACCTGATTCTTCACTAGAACATTATTTTCTACACTGGAGTCGCCAGGGACTCTCCACACACTGCAGGTCTGCTCAGCAGCCTGGACAGAAACATCGATTATGTCAATAGACAGGTCGCTCTGGTATGTGACCACCACTGCTCTGATCCAAGCACCTCACGCTCAGAGGCAGCACCTGAGTTCCAGGAAGGGGAGGGGCTTCCTAAGCTCCCTAGAGCACTGTAGGCAGATGGGAAGGGATCCCAGGTTCCTGAGGTCCTGCAACCTCCAAGATATCGAACAAGTCAAGGCAAGTACCCAAAATACTGGGAACAGCAGGGGACAAGAGGGGTGCCTAACCCATCAAAACATCACTGCTTAACTTCTGGGTCTTCAGCTGTTTTCTGAAAGGGATTGTGATAATCCTCCCTTCCCTCACAATCTGGAAACGAGAACCTCTGGGCTCCAACCCTTGCAAATTGTATGTTCTAAGTAGCTGAACTCATGGGGGTACTTCTCCAGGCTGAAAAATGCGAAAAATGCAGCATCTGATAGGTGGCAGCCAGCCTCCACCATGAACCCCATGAACTTTCTCTGCCTCCTGGTATTTATGCCCTTGAGAGTTCTTTCCATAACATCAAAGGGTAAGCCTGTGTGTATTGAACATAAGGCTAAAGCCCTGTTATATGACTAAACTGGGCACAGTACTAGCTTGTGCCCTGCTCCCTTCTGGGGTGGCTCTAGAGCAGTGCTTCTCAACCTTCCTAATTCCACGACTCTTCAATACAGTCCCTCATCTTGTGGTGACCCCCAACCATAAACTGTTTTGTTGCTACTTTATAACTATTTTTTCCTACTGTTATGAATCATAATGAGGAAGCCCGCTGCCATGTTAAAGGACACTCCTGTATCTATGCAGACAGATGTCTACCTGGTGGGAAAGAGTCTCCAAGGAGTGCACCAGCTGGGCAAGCCTCTGGCCTGCACTGTTTGCTCCCTCAGGTCCCAAGCCAAGCCTAGTCACTCTGCTCAGCCACTCCCAAGTCCTGACTCTAGGTTTGGGGATAAGTATTAAAGGGCAATAGATAGCTAATATGTTAATAAAATTAGACGATGGGATTAGATGCTTTTAGGTGAAAGTTATTGGATTCCGATAACTATTTTCTTCTATTTCCCTCTTCCTTTTGAAAAACAACATCTTAGCCCTTGGAATACAATTCACCACATTGCTTGCCTGGCCTGTGCCAAGGCCCTGGGTTTACTTCCCAGTACTGAGACAGCCAAGCATAAGGAATGGCTTGGGCTATACACCTGTCTCTTGACAATGGACCCAGCACCTTGTTTGCAACCCAAGACTGCTCCCCAACCCGGGCCCCACCTTGCTTTAAGCACTGGAAAGAAGTCACCCACCTCGGCAACCCCCAATTTCCCTATTTCTATTCAAACATCCTAAAACACAACCTGGGAACTACTGGGAACGGGCTGATCAAGCCTACACTGTGTTGGAGTAGATACATACGAGGTAAACTGTCCTTAAGTGAAATTTTAGGGAGAATTCTTTATTTTCTATCTTTTGTCTATGCATAATTGGGTATGCATACGATTAAAAGCAGGTGCATCATGGGAGAGGACAAACACAGTGAACAAAGCCTATCCGTCAATATAGGTAAGTACCCAAATTACACTCCTGGCAACCAAACTCCTCCTCTTGAACCCTAGAAAAAGAAGCCCCCGAACAATAAATCGGGCACTTGAGTCCCCCCCTCAGATGCAGGCTTCTCTGCTGTAGTGGGCTCTGGTCTCCTCACTCTTTTGGTGCCCGGTTTGTTGTTGTTATTGTTACTACTCTGAGAACAGGGTTTCATTATGTAGCCCAGGCTAGCCTGGAACTTACCAGGCAGTCCACACTGGTCCTCAAACTCTATCTCCCTGTTTCAGAAACCCAAGTACTATACAAACAGAAGGCCAACAGCGTACCCACATTCAAAGCCCACCTTCCTCCTCAAGAACATCTAAATATTTCTAGGACGGGCTGAGTGTGCCTGATCCATGTCCTTGGGAGCAGAGACATCCCTGATTAGGGAATATTTGCATACACATAATGAGGTATCTTGGGGATGGGATGAGTCTAAACATGAATCATATTTATGCACACAGACTAAAGGTAATTTCATGTAATGTTTTTAATGAACCACGTTTGGGCACCTGTCATACCACTCGAGGCATCGGTCCCCCAGGTGGCCTGAAACCTTTAATCCCAGCACTCTGGAGGCAGAGGCAGGCAGATCTCTGTGAGTTCTAGGCCAGCCTGGTCTACAAAGTGAGTTCCAGGGCAGCCAAGGCTACAAAGAGAAACAATGTCTCAAAAAAAGGGGGGGGGCCTAGAGAGATACCTCAGTAGTTAAGAACGCTTGTTCTCTTCCAGAAGACCTGAGTTTGTCCCCCAAACCAAATCTGATGTTACAGTTAATACCCTTAACTCCAATTCTAGGGAACTGAAGCTCTCTTCTGGTCTCTACACACATAAAAACAAGCCTAAAAGACAGTAAGCAGTAAGTAACTTATATTTATTCACCTATGTGCATATGGGAGTATGTGCCACGGCCTAAGTGTGGATGTCAGAGGCCACCAGGCTTGGCAGCTAGCATGCTGACCAGCTGACCCAGCCTCATAGCTCTTTTCTGCAGTATTTTTCCAGCTTGAAAAGAGAAGCATTCAGTTCCTCCTGCTCAGGAGTCACTAAGGTGACGGTGTCATGGGTGCCAAAGCCCTGAGGGGAGAGGCTTTCTTTGCTCCAGGGAAATCTTAGCACAATGGAGTACCCAGCCCCCACAATCTGACTCTCAGCAGAAGCTCTGAAAGGGGGTTTCAGAGGACAATTTCTGCTGCCCAAGGAGCTAAAGTCCTAACGTAGGCATTTATCTCAACTCCAAACTGAAGTGACCACAGCAAGGAAGTCTTTCTTTCACAGTACAGAGGTCAGAGGTCAGGAGTCTGCCCAGGGAAAGCCAGCATTCCAACTCAGAGCTCTCCACCTCCCCCTGTAAATTGTGCAACTAAACACGAGGGGGACAAGAGTCTGCCTAAGGAACAGAGTGATCTAGCCTTCACAAGGGTATCCCTAGACCTGCTTCATTCCTGGATGTCTCCCCAATGCCTCTAGACCTCTGCTTTGTGTCTTACAAAAAGGGTCCGATAGGTCTTGGGTTGCTGCTCAGTGGCAGAGCATATACATAGCATACATAGGCCCTGGATTCAAGACCTAGCGCTACAAAACAAAACAAAAGCATTGAGCCGGGTCTAACAGCTTACTTCTTCTGTAAGATCAACACTTGAGAAGCTGAGGCAGGAAGATTGCTATGAGTTTAAGAATCAACCTGGTGGGGGGGTGGGGGGTGGAGAGATGGCTCTGAGGTTAAGAACACTGGCTGTTCTTCCAAAAGTCCTGAGTTCAATTCTCACCAACCACATGGTGGCTCATAACCATCTAGAGTGAGATCTGCAGGCAGAATGATGTATAAATAGTAAATCTTTTAAAAGAAAAAGGGATCAGCCTGGCCTACATATTCACTTATAGGCCATCGTGGGCTATAGTGTAAGACGATAGGATAACAAACAAGCAAAATGAATCCTCTTAAATATAATGTATAAATTAATGTTATATGGCAACATATTGTTGTATTATTATGTATTATATGCCCAGGAAATATTGCTTCAGTAGGTGGTACAATTCTGTAACAACTCTCCAGAACTGGAAGAGTGGGTGGGAATGGAGGAGGAAGATACTGTTCTTCTAGAGAAGGACACTGGGTCTTTGAACACTGGTGTCTAGATTCCTCATTACTACTATCTATGTATCTCTGATGTGCTGGGCCTTTTTCTAAACACCTTGTTACACTGTCTCCTTTGACCATTACAATGATTCTGTAAGCTGGGAACCTCTTACTATTCCTTCTGAGATGAGAAAGCTGAAGCTCTGGGGTTAGGTACTGATTCACAGAGACACAGCTCATGAGGCCTGGGTTGGACAGAATATACAAAACTTGATAATTTTTAACCAGTGACGTCCATGTTAAAATGGGGTGGAAGCCAGTTCTACTCAACTTGACCTATATCTTCATAAGAGTCACTACTCCTTGGGGACAGATGGGTGTAGAGGAATTTTAATTTGGAACATGGCTGCTCTGGCAAGAGATCACATCCAAAAACCCTTCTAGGTATGTGTGATCAGGCTGGAATACATACACACCTTTAATTCTAGAGACTGAGGCAAGCAGATCTCTTGAGTTTAAGGTCAGCCTGGTATAGAGCAAGTTTCAGGTAAAGAAAAGCTTAGGTACAAGGTATGGTGGTACACACCTTTAATCTCAACACCCAGGAGACAAGAGGCATGCAGACCTCTGGGGTCTAGCTAGTTCTGTTCAGGCAATTCAGTTGAGTCAGTGCAGTGGAGTTGAGTTTGTGGCAGTTTAGTTCATGAAATTAGAGGCAGTTTTACTGTAATGGTTTCACAGAGACAAACTGAAGAGAGAACAAGCTAGACACAGGTAAAGACAGAACAAGTCGAAGCCAGAAGATTGGAATAGATTGCCAACATTAGTATGAGGCCAAGCAGAACAACTCAGTCAGACACTGACAGAAAAGCCAGATTGAATCAGTCAGCTTGGAGCTGAGTTTGAACCAGAATAGCTGAGCTGAACCAGCCAGCCAGAGTTCAGAAAGAACTAGAAAGGGTGAGCTTACTCAGTAGTAGGTCTCAGAGGCTGAAAACATTCTAGGCCTAGATAAGATGATATGGAGGCTAGAAGCTTCCAGAACTGGATCTAGGTTAGCAGTAAACCTCAGAGATGACAACTACATTAGGGCAAATAAAAGATACTTTAACTGCTGGGTCACTGGCTGTGTTATATATTTGATGATATGATTCCAGTTAATACCAACCACAGCCCCACATCAGTCCCTAGATGAAGAGATGACAGTAGCGAGCAGCAGAACAGCTTGCCTGAGGTTGCCCAGCTGGCAAGCCAAGAGCACAGACTTTCAGGTTTCTGGGTTAAGCTTTGGCCAGCAAACCGTCTCGGGTAAGACTCATTTCCCTGGCTAGACTGGAGGCAGCACTTGACCAACACCTCACTGCCTTTAGCTGTTGGTCTTGATAAGGTGCCTTACTGTATGCTTCACTCCCACCATCAAAATTCTTGCTCAATGTCTCCAGAGGCAGACACAGAATAGAGGGAGCCTCAAATTGTTTTTTTCTTCACTGTTGCTCCCTGAAGAGCCTGGCAGCCTTCACGCTAGAATCCCAGGGTCATAAAGAATCTCTCGCACGACAGGGCCGACTAGCTTGACCGGTAGGATAGATTTTATCAAGTTTTTTTTTTTTTTTCCTTTGTACTTTGTGTGATCAGAAGACAGGTCTCCAGACAAAGGGCAAAAACCGCAAGAAATGATACCTGAGCTTTAAGGTTTTGTGCCAGGTGTAAGCCTCAGGTTCACTCCCAGAAAATAAGCTGCTAAAATACAGAATACCCGCGGGAGACCTCCGGGTTCGGAGGCACCGGGAGGAAAATGCTCCCCACTCCATGACCTTAACCAGTATCTCAGGAACTCAACTGGGATTAGAGCTTTCTTCTAAGCAGGTATAACTGGTTTTTGCCCAGCACTTCCCAAGTGGTCTGGCTTCATCCTGGATCCTATCTAGCTAGTTCCCAAGAAACACTAGGTTTTCCCTTCTCTTCTTGTGTAATGTGTCAGGGCCTCGTGAAAAGCCTTACTTTAACTAACCAATGAGGTTGGAAGCCACCACACATAGGAGTGGGGTGAGTTCTAGATAAGCACTGTTCTCAGCTCCTTCAACTCTGCTCTGAACTTTGGGAATTCCTGGTTGGAAAGGAAAAAAGTACCCTGTCCCTTCAGTCCCGCCCACTGCTCAAGTGGAAGCAGGCCAGAGTGGGCAGAAGTAGAGAGGTGTATGCTTCTCTGAAAACACCGCGGCAGGGGCATGCACGTGGAAAGGATAGGTACCGGAGTCCCTGTGTGGGTTCTCTACCCTACCTCCCGGCCTCCCTCTCCCCATCATGCAGGGAAGGATGGGACCACCCCTCGAAGACTCTCCAGAACGATCCTTAGGCCTGTGTTCTCCATCACACCGCTCTCAGCAGCTTTCCCGAGGGTCGCGAGGCTGGTGGGCGGGCGCAGAGGGTAGACTGTAAAACGGTTGCTGCTCCGGCCACGGCCGGCGCCTTGATAGCGGCGTCTGGCCCGGAAACGGTGCATCTGGCCGAAGAGAGCGGTTCGCGCCGGCGGAGCGGCGCGGCCACTTACCGGCATGACTGACGCAGCACAGGTAGCGACGGCAGCGACCACTGGAACGCCTCTCCCGGACACCAACGCGGCGCTTCCGGAGAGCGCTCCTGAAAGCCCCACCCTCAGGCCGACCCAGCCTTCGGCCAGGCCCCGCCCTGGGGCTGGGCTCCGCTCAGCCCCGCCCTTTCCGGCCCAGATACGGCCAGGCCCCTCCCTTGGGCCGGCCTCCACTTGGTTCCCGCCCCTTTTTGACCTGGCTATTTCACTAGGCTCCGCCTCTTTGGAACCAAGCCACGCTCCTTCCCGGCTCAGAACTCCAAGGCTGTTTTTTTTGAGGCCGCTCTGATGCTTTCTTGTGGAGACCTGCGCTGTACCCTGCACTGGGTCGTTTTTTTTTTTTTTTCAGTGCGGGGCTAGGGAATGCAAAGCCAAGGCTCCTAGGCAAGATGGATCCTTGCATTTCTCTAAAGGGACCATTTCCCTTGCTCAACGATTCACCCCTAAACTATAGTGGCTGGGCCTAGGTCCGCAGGCTTGTTATCCCAGCTACTAAAAAGGCTAAAGCGGAAGGATTCTGGGTTCAAGGCTTGCCTGGGCTGCAAAAGTTTAAGGCCATTCTGGATTTCTTGAGACTTTGCCCTGAAAAAACATATATATCCCAAATTTAAAGACCCAGAGCATACCAGTATACATCTATAATCTCAGCACTTGAAAATTTGAGGCAGAGCCAAGCGTAGTATCGCAGGCCTTTAATTCCAATACTTGGGAGGGAGAGGTGGGTGGATCTCTGTGAGTTCGAAGGCTAGCCTAGTCTACAAAGGGAGTTTCAGGGAAGCCAAGGCTACACGCGGAGAAACCTTGTCTCAAGAAGAAGGAGGAGAAGGAGGGGGAGGAAGAAAGAAAGAAAGAAAGAAAGAAAGAAAGAAAGAAAGAAAGAAAGAAAGAGAAAGAAAGAAAAGAAAAAAAAAGAAAGAAAGAAAAGAAAAGAAAAGAAAAGAAAAGAAAAGAAAAGAAAAGAAAAGAAAAGAAAA